GGCCTCCATATGTCAAACTAATGGTGGGACCATATGCCGCTTTTCTTGGAATGGCACTAACGTGTCATTGAAGGTTCCATGATAACCGCCATATGAACACATCTGCGGATTGTTTCAAAATTCTAAATTTTACCAGTTCATGTTAAATGTTGAATTCTGCTTAAGCCGGTGCTAGGGGGCGTGGACGGTAACTTGCACTTTCCAGTACCGTCCATGAACAGGCTCAATCAAACCGAGTCTGCAACATTTTCTATTTTGCCGTGTTGGGCTTTCTTTAGGGATTCTTATTTCTCTCTATTTCATCAAACCTTTACAGGAGTGATCAGTACCATCCCTAGTTTTGCACGTCGCCCGGGCGTTCTGCTTCGCTTTACAAAAATTTGCTGCCAGAGCTATAAATAGAAAAATCTCTTCCAGCATTCAAACAGTTGGACACTACGATTTCTTCTTTTGATTACATCTGACGGATCAAGTGGGAGACACTATGATTGACAGTTTTTAAAGCTCCTTGGCACTGAATTGCCTTAATGTTTGTCTTTTGCCTTGCTTCGGGCCATTGTCGGTGATTTTCTTGTTGCTCTGTCTTCCTTTAGGACATTGAATACTTTTGTTGTGGTCATTGGGTTTACTTTTACATATTTCTACATGATCATTTTGGTGTTTTACTTATTTAACCTTTTGTAACCATAACAATTGTGAGAATTTCACTTGGCGCGGATTCATTTTATTTACACTGTCTCGTTTTTAGGAACATGGAGGGACTAAGAGTGAGGTCTGGTGCACCACTAACCGGTTCTAAACTCCCCAGCAGTACTTGTGCTGCTGACCGTTCCAAGGCGGCGCCTCTCTGTGATCCTCAGATGTATGTCTATGTTGTTTCATACTGTTTGGGTGACACTTTTGCTTGTGTCCCTTGTTGTTTTGTCGTCTACGGTAAGTATCTTCCCCTTTGCCACAAGTGTTTTCTTTAATCCCCCTTCCCCGGGTCTCCTGTCCCCCTCCCCTGTGCCCTTTGACTTTGTGGACCTATTATTCAATCATTTATTTGTTTTCTTTGAATTCCTTAACAGTTACAAATTATTTTCTTCTATTCAATTATTTATTTGTTTTCTTTGAATTCCTTATCAGTTACAAAATGATAAACTAGATCAACAAGGAAAGGCGGCGTTTAATGAATGCAACCCCCACACAACCCAGCAACAAGAACCAGTGGCAAGAAGCCCAGACGGACCCCAAACAAAAACATGACAGGGCACAATGCAGAGCACGGACAAGCTTATCACTTAAATGATAAATAATTTGTAACCGACAAGGAATTCAAAGAAAACAAATAATTGATTATAGGAAACTGAGAAAACCTCTTTTCCACCTTTACAAAATATAGCCAAGTAACATGTATATAGATAAAGCATTAAGGAATTTAATTTATAAAATCTAATAATTTGTCACGCTGATGGCCTAAAAATAGTACTTTAAGTTTGCATGACTTCTTGTTGCGTGATGAGCTAGCATGCCTGGGAAAGCTGATGGTACGCGACCTTTACTGTCGCGTGAAATTTATCTGCGTGACCTGACCTTATTTGGAATGAAAAGTGATCACATCCAAAAATAACTGATCTTGTACTGTTAATGACTAAATAGTTTTACATCAAAATGAGTAAAAGATAACCAGCCTCGTGTCACAATATTGTAGCTCTTATAAATGTTTACAGTTACTATTTTTCGAAATCGCTATTCACAAAAAAAAATCAATTTATACAGTTGGATTATAAACCGAATGAACTACTGTCCGTAGAGTTAAATGTCACGTCCATGTGAAAGATATTTTCCGATTTTTCTTTTTACTAATTTTGTCCACCTCTATGTTCATTTTTCGCTTTAATATTGTCGTATTTTAGAGCGGAGCATGCGCATAACAATGTTTGTAGACTGGTTGTAATGTTTTGTCTTTAAATGAAATTCAATACTTCAATTTGATACGCAAAAAATGGATCCCGCCAGCAATCATTCTCATCACTGTGGAGAGGTCTGATGACCTCTCCAATATTCGTCGATGTGCTATTGATTGCCGAATTATAGTCAAATCGGACTCAAGTCAAAACGGCCCCGAAAAAGTCAAATAGGCACCAATCCAAATCAGCCCTAGATCAAATAAAAATATTTTGCAGTAAATTAAATTTCAGTTTTGCAATAAATCAAAATGTATGTCAAAATATTTTAACAAATCTATGAGTATGTGAAGCTAATATGAAAAACAACGGCGAAGAGTGATTACATTTGTCGCCTGATGATATCCATTAAGCAGTATTGAGAGGTGATTGGACAGTTTATTCCCTGTATGTCGCGGCTAATGTGTAGCAGGAGACACAAAAATCATTAACAGACCAAAACGCCTTAACTTAGCCAAAAAAAAACAACATTCAACCAGTAAATCTGTTAAATAAGCGCAAGAACTTTGAAGCACCGTTCAATCATGTAAAGTTTCACACAAATTGTATCACTAGCATTAATCCGGACATAGGCCTAATCTTAAAAATAAAACATAATCAAAGGACCATAAATTATTGAAATGGTAGAAAGCAGAAGACATGCTCAGCTAAACCTGGTACTGATCATTTCTGTAAAGTTTGGATAAAATTGCCCGATTAGTTTTCGAGGAGAAAACTCTAAGACGACGGTCCGTACAATGATGAACACGCTTTTAATAAGGCTGTTGTTGAAAGTTCCGAGTCTCGATCGATACCTTTCCCAGAGGTCTTGAAGGGTTCGTTCCATCCTGGTTGTACATGCAGATCTGGCCCTGTTTAAGCTTTTGATAATTACAAACAAATAAATAAAATTGGTAAAAGACATTAAAGGGACTCCTTTTGTCACGGGCTATTATTACCAATCAGTGTGTATGTTAAGGGTACCTATTAATTAGGTGATAAATATGATTGAAGCATTCATTTAAATTTGATTAGTGACCACCTACAATTAATTACAAGCTTATGATATTAAGTAAACACGTTTTTGTTTCATTTTTTTTTAAATATTACGATACAAACAAAATGCATCTAAGGAAACACATTTTTATTAGATCTATATTAATTTTATCGAATCTGAAAGACAAATAAATATTTTTTTTTCGAAATATACTTTATTTCGGCAGAAGTACAATGTATATAATTATATAATAATAAGATATTTCTTATCATTCATTTACCTTAACAACATGCAAAGCGGCACAGTCTAAAACGCGGACGCCTTAAGCGGACAATATAAACATATAGGGAAAACGCTGACGATATAGACAAAGAGGAAAAAAGCGGACGATATAGATACATAGTGTAAAATGACAGAGCATAATTAAATTTATATTAAAGGCGAATAATTGGCTTTTATAAAGTAATATATGAAAGACATTAGTTAGAAGCAGTAGTATTGTACAGATATATTTATATAGATATATAAAACAAAATCTTATATGATGCATAACGGATGAAAAACTAATTTGATTAGACTGAGTCAATTTGCGCTCAAAAAGGATAAAATATTTTTAAGAAGTGAAATAATCAAACACCTCACCCTTATATAATGCCTTAATAAAGTGGCTACAGAAAACGCGGACAATATAGACATTTATTATATACTTATAAATGAAATATTGAGAAATATTGATGAAATAAAATGCGTATTTTCATTTTCCGTATTTTCATTGTAAAAATTTATTTTTCACTGCAGTGAAACATATTTTCCGTATTTTCACTGGTGTCTTGCCGGACTACTTTCTTTTAAATTCTACCAGTACACAAAATTTAAGGGAAAGTTTTTCCAATTTTATCGCAAAAAAGAGAAAAATGTACATAATAAACAGAAAATTCAAGTTTTTTCTATAAATACATGATTTATTTTCATCTTGTGGCATGAAAATTACCATATTTCACTCGTGGCTACCGCCACTCATGAAATATTTATTTTCATACCACTCGAATATCCTCTATATAGTGAAAAAGCGGGCGATATAGATATAGAAGGAAAACGCTGACGATTAAATGTATAACACGGGAGAATAGAAAACTGTTATAAATAAAAAAAATGGCTTCTACAATGTTTGTAATTAAGTTATATCAATCAATTTTCTTTTGATCATCATATTTTATGTTTTATTTATATTTTATCCATTAAGTAACTAAAAAAAACTTTCTGCTATAAATACCAATCAACTAATTCAAGTATCCACGTGTCACCAGTGTATTTGACTTAATCACGCACCGACACTTGTATATTTCAAGTAATCATACACCTCACCCTTGTATAATGCCTTAATAAAGTAGCTACATAAAACGCGGACAATATAGACATATAGTGAAAAAGCGGGCGATATAGATATAGAAGGAAAACGCTGACGAAATAAATGTCATGAAAGTTTTATTGAAATACTTAAGGACAAAATTCCAAAACTGAAAGAAAAACCAGTGAACATAATTATGGACAGAGAACAGGGTATTCTCAATGCATTTGAAAAATGTCTGCCAAACAGCAAAATTCTTGTACTTTTTCGATTATGTCCAAATTTCCATATCCCCATATTTCGCATCCATATAACAAAATTGGCTTAACAGTTTTCATGAAAAGTTCTATTTGCAAATCTATTGGCATTAACAAATTTCTTGCTTTCTTTATGAGAGAATACATTGCTCGTGTAGCTGTGTAGCTTGTTGTGCTATAGCACGCTTTGCATTTAAAAAAAACACTTCTACTAAATAAAATACCCAAATATTTGTAATCGTTTGTAACTTCAATGATCCAACTGTGGAAAAAATCCAAAAAAAGGTGTGAATTTGAAGTTAATACGTTATATTATATTTTCGTAAAGTGGGCCGAGTTGACCCGTGCCGAGTTGGTATAGGGCCGAGTTGACTCTTTTCCATCAGGAAATACCACAGAGCATGCAACCCTTTGATTTTAGTTTTCTTAGTGGTAATTTTAGAGCGTTAGGTAAAATTTGAGGTCTAAAATGCGACAGTCCAGGAGAGAGCGCATGCGTGCCAGCCATTTTGGAAACAACAAAATATGTCGCGTTACTCGAGGCCACCAAATTCGTCGCTCTATGTCCGAAATGTGCCAGATCAAACGAGGTATCAAGTAATTTTTGTTAATATAATTTTCTGTTCGTAACTGCGCTCAAAGTCTGGCATTATGTAATTTGTGTCCAACGTAAGATCTGATAGAAAATGCATCGCTAAATTATTTTTGATTTCAAATCTGGAAACAAATTATTTTCTGGAAAAAAACCTCATTTACTTAATGAGAAGTCAAGTGGTGTTTGATAGATAGTCTGACTTTTCAATCAAATAGAATAAAAAAGATATGATTTCTAAAAAATTCAACTTATTTTCCGTTTATATTTAGATTCTACTCCACTAAGGTTTTTTGAAGTGAAGGGACCGAACATATTTTTTCAAGATTTTTGAATAACTAGATGTATGTCTAGACCAATAACTCATGTACATAAATCAGATCATTCGCTCATTCCGTTTCCAAAAAAATAATCAATTTTATTGTGCAAATAGGCCTACACCCATTGATGGTCTCTATATGAACTACGTAAATAACCGAGGTATATCAAGTGAAAAAACAAGAGTTGTTTCCCTTAGCTTCGAGTAAAATCAATATCTCTAATGCAGAATGTCGCAGCTCAAACGAAACAAAGGGGTTGTTGACTCTGCTGTGAGTTCTGGACCTGGTGTAGAGGGGTCTGTAAAAAGACAAGTATGCGCTACTCAAAATATTTATTCTTCCCTACAACAAAACCGTGGCCTGCGCCAACAATTTCTCAATTCAAGTGCGCATGCGTTGTGCAGATTAGCGGGGAAATTGAAATATTAGCGAGAAAAGTTAATCGAAGATATTGAAAAGGTTATAAAGTACTATTATGTATAGGTAACGGCTATTGGATATGAGATATGAGCTATGAGTATATGAATTAAAGAAATAACTACGGAAAACAATAAGGGACATGGACATTAACATATAAATATACAGAGACAGGCATGGTCACGAACAGACCAAAAATATACAGCACTTGGCAAGACGGACAATGTATACTTGACCCTGTGACATCATCCCCCTCATAGGGAAATGTCGTCCCGACATTTAAATAAAGGTCAACCCATATACACTTACCTTAGAATAGATAAACCGCAAGGTTCTTCTCTATACTGTCCAATAATACTCTATACTCCTGTACATATCGTACAAATATATCCAAAGACTACTCAATAACTACTGTAGCTAACAATAATCTACACTACAGCTCAAAAATCTGTCAAAGTTTCATGTAAAGTCACAGAGACAGGACACCATATACATGAGCATCAGGCCTATATGCCCACATAAAAATGTCAATATACAATAAAATCATTCAGAACACTTACATAAATGACTATTAAGCACTTATTTTAGTATTCATCTCACAGATGGCACTTAAATCTGTGAGGTTTCCAATAAAGCGCACACAATAGGGCTGTAACAATACGGTAAAAAGCGTATTGCAATATATTGCAATACGCCACATCCGTATTGCAATATATTGCAATACGTATTGTTATTTATCTTAGGTACTGGGAAATAATTCAGAAAAAGAGACTTGTATATTATTTCAACAAATATAATATATATCTATATATCTATGTCTCTCGCAAAACAGAATTATTGGATATTTTCCTTTAACAATTTTTAACTGTTTCAACTATGGAAGCATCAACTGTTAGTAACTTAACAGAAATATAAAACTTTAAACACTCTTCATTAAGTAACTAACAATCTAAACTATATCCTAATGATTTTCTTAACACAGTTTCAGACTCGGAATAGATCACAGGGATTGAGTGACGGTGGCAATTTATCTGCGTTTTTCTTTAGAAAAATTAACATGTCTACTTTGTCAGCATCTAGTATTCAATAATTTCATGGGTCTCTCTTTTCCTTGCAATTAAAATTTTATATCAGATCGTAATTATTTCCGTCTGCCATAGTAAATCACCGATTTATTCAAGCATTTTTCTACCCGTGCACCGTGTAATTTTTTTACCCTAACACCGTTTTTTTTACACGCTTCCTACTTTCGGTTGTTATATTTTTTTTGTGTATAGGACATTTTCATAATATTTATCAAGAAAATTTATCAAGAAAATTATGGAAGACTTTCTTTTATTTATAGAGAAAATTATGAAACGCTGTTATTACTAAATAAAACCGGTGCAACTAAATGTGAACCGCGGTACAATATTTATTTACCCTGCACCGCAATATATCGGTGTACCGGTAAACCGTTACAGCCCTAGCACACAACATCAGAATCACAATGTAATTTGAGTATATGCAGTAAAGCAAAAATACCATATGTTACAGATAAACCCCATAATATAACTTTATGAATGAAAGTAAATTTGTGTTACGACATCACTGTCTCTTTCAAATACCTTAAAGCTTGCGATCATACTCAACAATATGAAACTTCTATGCTATGTCACCCAATAAGTTGATGTTAACCAACTTGGCGGCTTTCTTTTTCTAGCAACACGGTCTGGGACAAAGGGTAATGCACATGGATTAAGAGTGGACTTGCGTTTTTGAGGAATGATATATTTCTCAACAGATAACGGGGAAGTGGGAGGGGGAGTTTTAGAATTTCCAGTTGTGTCTACAGTGTGCACTGGTTTGGTACAAGAAAAAGAAGCGTCAGATTCAACTGAGTTATTGAGAGGAAGACCTGAGAAGGGTAAAAGGAGATTCCTATGTACAGTTCTGGGATTTCCTCTTCCATGCTCCTTCTTCACAAGGAATACAGGCACATCAGGATTTGGTTGCTCCACCACAATATACACATCTCTTCCCCACTTATCAGCAAGCTTGTGCTTTCCCTTCAAACCAACGTTCCTCACCAGGACTCTGTCTCTTGATTCTAGTTTGGCCTCCCGTACTCGAATATCGTAACGTTTCTTATGCCGTCGGGATTGTCGCAAAGACTCTCTGGTGGCAACTTTGTAGGCAAAGTCCAGACGCTTTTGAAGGTCACGAACATAGTTAGAATGATCAGTAGACTTGGATTGATCATCAGGCTGGATTCCGAGGAAGGCGTCGATGGCAAGACGTGGATGCCGTCCGAACATTAGAAAGTGGGGTGTAAGCCCCGTGCTTTCATGTCGGGTAGAATTATAGGCATGCACTAATGCTGGAATATGTGCCTTCCAGTTAGATTTCTGTAAATCTTCCAGGGTACCTAACATGTTCAATAATGTCTGATTAAAGCGTTCTGGCATGCCATTGCCTTGGGGATGATATGGAGTGGTTCGGGATTTCTCAACATTGGCCAGCTTACACAGTTCCTTAATGACAGCAGATTCAAAATTACAGCCTTGATCACTGTGTAAACGGCTAGGGAATCCGTAATGGCAAATGAACTGCTCAAATAAAATCTTGGCCGTTGTATGGGCTGTCTGGTTCTTAGTGGGGATAGCTTGAGCATATCGGGTAAAATGATCAGTGATGACCAATATATGCTCAAAGCCACCCGCAGACATTTCCAAGGACAGATAATCCATACAAACAAGCTCAAGAGGAAACGTTGATTCCACAGAGACAAGAGATGCGGCCTTACCCACAGGGGTTTTACGTCGAATGCATCTGGCACATGCCCGAATACGCTTTTCAACATACGCGTCTAAACCGGGCCAGAAAAATCTGGACTTGATCAAAGATAAGGTCCGATCTCTTCCCTGACCGAGGTATATCAAGTGAAAAAACAAGAGTTGTTTCCCTTAGCTTCGAGTAAAATCAATATCTCTAATGCAGAACAATGCAAATTTAGCTGTTTTTAAACCGCTAGGTTGGGGCGATTTAATGTCCAATTTTAAAATTTAATATGAAATTAGGCAAAGCCTATAAACGGGGAAGTCGGTAAAAAATCCTTTCATTTTTCCATTTTAAAGGTGTCATTCGGTATTATATGTACCAACTTCCGTTTTCACTCGGAACATTCGACGATTATTATTAATCCGAAAAGTTGAGATTTGTTCCGTTATCGGAATACACCGCCTTTTATCATTGAGTCACATTGTAAATGGCGGCGCCTAACTAGAACTGACACTGAAAATTTCATTGATAGGTATAGAATTCTATATATTTTTTAATTGTTTTTTATTTGAATTTTCTTTCAAATATACATGTGTAGTCTATAGCCGGGCAAGCCAAAGCCCGGGCCCGCTTCGCGGTCCCGGACTTTGACTTCCCCGTATTACACCAATGAAAAGCTTGTGATCTTAGCTTCGTCTCGGTAAATATTTCAACACATTGTTTGACACTGAAGGTATTTAAATTTACGGTTAAACCTACCACAAGTCAAACCATTTTACATACGTTTTATACAGTGAGATACGCAATCGGTTATCTTTACTCGCAATTCTACTGATTAGAAAAGCCTGTCATCTGCTAGTTCGGAAACTGTCAATCCGTGTATTGGCCCAATAAATGAAAACAGTTTAAACGCTTTTCACTCAAATCGGCCAAAAATCGCATAACAATCGATTATCAATTTAGATGATATATAAATACACTGTATTAAAAATTATTGTTTCAAATTTAAATGTACCAGTTGATTTAAGATAGAATTTCAAAATTTATTATTTTAGGCTATTGGACCTCAGTGGAGTGCCTTTAAAGGTGTTTTTTTTCCAATCATTTTATAGCATGCCTTTTTTTGGGGGGAAAAAAACAGGTACAACGTATTGTTACAGTCACTGCGGCATTGCCGTTGCCTTACGCAAACTTGTACCTTGATCATAACATGTTAAGTTCTTGGTGTATTGTCTTCATATTTGGCCACAACAACCCTTGGGACAAGACCTTTCATTAGTTCAGTGAGATTTTACAACATTTCTTGCAAGTTTTACGTGTAATTATGATTCATCTAATAGACATGTGTATATATTTTTTAACAGGCCAGAAGAGCTAAGATCGATGTTTGGGAAGTATGGACCACTCTCGGATGTTTACGTACCACTAGATTACTACACAAGAAGACCAAGAGGATTTGCATATATTCAATATCCTTCTTTGTTGTATGTTTATTTCAGGAACAAAATACACAGATCCCAGGATGGACAAACAATTTCAATGTATAAAATTGTTGTAATGATTATATGATATTTTAGTCGAATCTATTATATTATTATATTAATGCTATTGTTTTCATAATATTGATAGAAATTCAAGACAAGTAAAGGTAAAGATAAAGCAAAGTCAAAAAGTTCAAAATACAGCCACAAGTGCGCATTTTAAAGTAAAGACAGGTTGATTTCTGCCTTAAAGCACCAGACAAGTTAAAGTTACAGACAAGTACAGTTAAAGTAACAGTCACATGGTCTCGTTTTCAAGTCTGCATTAAACATACAGACTGGATAGTTTGAGACATGGAAAAGGTCAAGAAAGTAAAGAAATGTCACAATTTGCATCGGTATAAAACGTATATATCGGTCAGGTCTTGCAATGGCTCAAGGTCCCCCATCCGGTACAGTTGGTAAAAGTGTACAGTGAGTAATACATGTGTATATCATGATAAAAGATGTTGTTTATTTACTCTGTAAAATATGAAGTATGTTTAAAGTAAGTTTTAGTTATTCATCTTGAATGACAGGCACCTTTCTAAATACCAGATTTTTTCTTCTTTTCTTTTATCTATTTCTGCTTTTATCAAACAATATCATTAATTTCAGTGGGGAAAAATAATGATTTATATTTGGGAAAGGGCATTTAAGGAGTTTTATATAAAAAATTTTAAATTTGTTTTAAAATTTTAATAACATTTTTTTAAATAAAAGTTACAATTTCAATTGTCAAACAAGCAAAAGATTCAAAGTACAGTAAAGCATGACTAGGGCACAAAGTAAAGTAAAACAAGTCCCAACAAGATTCAAACAAGGGTTAGTGTACAGAATCATTCAAGTACAGTACAGACAGAGCAAGTTTACACAAGTTTACAGACATACAAGACAGTGGGGAAAAAGTACAATGGCTATGGACAAGACTGGGTTACAGATTTATAACAAAAAATTAAAGAAAAAGGGGGTAAAGATTTGTAACAGTAAAGCATGGCAAAGATTTTTGCAGTTACAGAAACTTAAGGGCAGGTGTAGAACAAATATCCATTTTGAAAAAGAAGACTTCATACCCATGTTTTATAAGCAGATTTATCTCTCAGTTAAAGTGATTTGGTATAATTTGAAAACTATCTTTAAACAAATCTTCCTTATGGAACTTTCTAGTGTAAATCTTTTAGGCCTCTTATCTTGTTAAAAGAAACATTAGCATTGGCCATAAAGTGTATGTTTATTGCTGCATATAAAAATGTAAAGCCTGATAAAAAGAAAAATGTTCTAATGTTTTCCATAAAGCTTTTAATTGAGGTTCAAATTTTATTTTATAGAAGGTTGTTTTGGATATGTGTTTATTGTTTGAACAAGCCCTGTTCTGTTTGACATGACAACATTAGCTTCTAAAAGTATTTAACATATATTTGTCTTAAAATTTGATCATGTTTGAAATATTCATCACAAGTTAGGAAAAGGTGGTGGGTATATTAGGTTTTATTTTAGGGTCAAAATCAAAATTAGCAAGGTTTGAAAAATTTTACTATTGATTAAATCATAATGAAAACAAGGATAGCCCTGCTTATATCCATACTGCTTTCTGTGGTTTAAGTCACTGTCAATGTTTTAAGGGGGGAAAAAAGTACTATAATTGGGTGAAAATATTAAAAAACACCATTTAATGTGGGGTATTGGTTTTGATGGGCGATGGTGCTTTTTTTAAATTGGCTATTAAAAAGAAATCACTAATTCTGTAGACAAACATAAATTTTGAACTCGAGCATTTTACTCGTTCAGTTGAGGGAGTAAAAACAGATTTTGAGAAATTTTAAGTGTATAGCTAAAGTCCTTAACCAGGTGAACATTTGAAGATCCACGAGATGCTGACGATGCCCTGTATCATTTGGACAGAACTAGATTCTTTGGAAGAGAGTTGGAGATCGAATTTGCCAGAGGAGATCGAAAAAGTAATTTTAGAATTTAGTATATGGATTATCATAGAAATTATCGCCTGAACTGTCTTGATGAAAAATATATAGACGAAAAAATGTGTTATAGCAGTTTTAATCTTGTGAAGCAATATATTGGTATCTCTAGTTTGTAAAATGAATTGATATGAAATAATTCCCATTAAACCTGCATGTGTTCACATAAGCCAAACAAGTTCAAGAAAATCAACAGTAAGAAAAATGTACTTAGATTTTAATAAAAGTAAACATATTTACAATTCAAGTGTTACATGCCATGAATGACTGATTTTACAATATTCACATTTTCAAAATTTTCATGAAATTTAGCATAAATCTGAAGGCATGCTGCTTTAAAGATGATGTTAAAAGGTGTTTTTGTTTTGAAATTTTACAAAATTATTTTTGAGATAAAACAAGATGAATGGTGCAAGGGTTAAGAATTACAAAAAATAAGATATCTCTTCATCAGAGTTCATTTATTAATACATTTGTACTATATTCTTATAAAGTTTAGAATTTTATGGTAAAATGGAAATAAATTTTCAGCACCAAATCAAATGAGGGGGAAGGAAAGGTCATCTAGAAGGTCACCATACAGAAGTCGCCATGACGACAGAAGACGAAGATCATACAGCAGAAGTCCAAGGTATTGATTGTCTGATTTACTAAAAAATAATTCTTGGGGATAAACTTTAATAATTAATGTTTGTCATAGTGCACATAAATTTGCTCTTTATAATAGCTGGTGTTTATGAATGAAATATATTTCAATCTTATATTTAAAACAAATAATTTTTCTTTTTATTTTATGTGATTAAGTATTTTTTACTGATTTTTAGCTCGACTATACGAAGTATATGGAGAGCTGTCCTACTCGCCCCGGCGTCGGCGTCCGCGTCCAGATTTTAGATTAAAGTTTTGGTGCAGTAAAATATTTTTCACTATAACTTTGTCATTTCTTAAGGTATCAACTTCAAACTTCAAATATATGTTCCTTATCATCAACCACATCTTATGTGACAAGGTTCATAACTCTAGCACCAATATTTACAGATTTATCTCCCCTTGAACTTAGAATTTTCCTTAAAAAATACTATTTCTTACTGTTTCTTCTTTATTTCGTAAGGGATCAACCTCATACTTCAAATATATTTACCTTATCATCATCCCCATCTTATGTGACAAGGTTCATAACTCTAGCACCAATATTTTCAGATTTATCTCCCCTTGAACTTAGAATTTTTCCTCAAAAAATGCTATTTCTTACTGTTTCTTCTTTATTTCTTAAGGGATCAACCTCATACTTCAAATATATTTACGTTATCATCATCCCCATCTTATGTGACAAGGTTCATAACTCTAGCACCAATATTTTGAGATTTATCTCCCTTTGAACTTAGAATTTTCCATAAAAAATATTATTTTTTACTGTTACTTATTTATTTCTAAAGGGATCAACTTCATACTTCAAATATATTTACGTAATCATCATCCACATCTTATGTGACAAGGTTCATAACTCTAGCACCAATATTGCAAGAATTATCTCCCCATAAACTTAGATTTTTTTACTAGAAAAATGTTATTTTTTATTATAACTTTTTATTTTTAAAAGTATCTACCTCAAACTTCAAATACTTATTCCTTATCATCAATTACATTTTATGTGACAATGTTCATAACTCTTAAAGCAATATTTACAGATTTATCTCTCTTTGAACTTAGGATTTTCTTTAAGAAATATGATAACTTCTTTACTTTTTAAGGTATCTACTTCAAACTTCAAATATATATTTCTTATCATTACACAAATGTTGTGTGAAAAGGTCCATAACTCTAGCATGACTATTTCTAGAATTATTCCCCTTGATCTTGGAATTTATGTTAACAAATGTTATTTTTTTTACTATAACTTAATACATAATTATACATAATTGATTTTTCTTTCATAGTTTTGTCCTCCTTACTGCGTCCAGTATTTTATTAGTCGAGCTTCGCTGTCTCCTGTGACAGCTCTTGTTTCTGTGAGGAAGCTATCCAGCTAGCTTACGGAATGTCGGTGGTTCTACTCAGGTGCCCGAAATAATGCACGGAAGGGCACCTGAGGTCTTCCTCCACCAATAAAGCTGGAACGTCACGATATGACCTATACTGTGTCGATGTGACATAAAACCCAAAACAAACTGATTTTTCCACGTAACGTCGTGCATTCTCCTTTATGACATCATCGCATCATGACGTCACATCATCAATTTTGAAATATAGTTCTGTTAAATTTTTATAATTTTGTTTCATTTTCAACATGATGTATGATGACATCGGCTTTCTTTTCCTTAAGAAGCAAAATTGATGTATGACAGCATTTATTTTTGCCAGTTATTTATGCCATTTAGTTATGATATTCTTTTCATCTGCATTCAGATATAGTCCGGCTACAGTGAAAATTATATTTTATAAATTTCACTAGTGGTTTATCAGAATATAATCACCTGATATATTACAGTAAAACACTGGAAAGCATGAAATAATTTGTAAAAAATCATTTAATGTTGATTTTGTTGTAAATGGCTGATTAAGTACATGTGTTTGTAGTACATAAAGCTCTTTCACTGCTTTAATTGCATAAATATACATGTAATTTAGAACTCTGTTGGTGGTGTTGAGAGCTTTTTTGGTATTAAAAAGAATAAAGCTGAATTTACTGACTGAAAGGGTGTTTATGCTGACCTTGCAATTATTACACACATCTGTATGTTTTATTTGTTTCATTACAATTGTTGGTTGTTTCTTGACTTTGGAGTCCCTCTACAAAATTAACAAAATTTATAAAATTGTATATGAGAATTTTTAATTATTTTTTTTGGAAATTTAGTGTTTGAAACGGGACCCATTAACAGACCTATCATCAAACACTGATGTTTTACATGAGCATGTACTCACTAGATTTGTAGATGTTTTTGTTTGAGAGTGTCGAGTTACGCCATCTTTTCTTGATAACTGTGGTTTGAAAATTTAAAGAAGGATCATGAATGCTATTCAATTTCTTGTTATGATAAAATGTTGGGTTTGTTGACTAGTTTTTTATTACACAGACATTACCTTTCAATATTTTTCAGACGTCGATCAAGATCAAGAAGCTATGACAGAAGGTGACCAAAAATTTTATTTTGAATATTTTTTCATAGTTGATATAAGCAAGTTTTATATATCGTACCATAATGCAATTTTCTATTTTATATAAACTTGACTTGACTGAAGTAGTTTTCTAACAGTTTAAAAAGCTATGCAATAAAATACAGTGATAGAGCTTAGAGCTGTTATGAAATTCTTCAAGATCTTATATTCTTTTAAACAACTAAAGCTCTTTGACAAAAATCATATAATACAGAGCAATGTTTTCGAATTTATCAGCATCTCAACTGTCAAAAACAATTATGGTAGTTGTGGATGGTAATATTGAATGGTATAGTACATTATAGCAACTATTCAAGCATATCTGTTAGAAAGGTATGTTACTTTGTGATGGCTAGTGCCTTGATGTTGAAGATGGCTTTTATTTGCAGGCACCGCTCCAGGTCACGAAGTTATGACAGGAGGTGGGTTCTATGTTCTTTAAATGCACATAGATCATGGCTGTAATTAAGTGTTATTTTGTCTTTGCACATTTCTTACCTTCTTATTTTAGGATAGGTATTTAATGTTTGCAACTTGAAAATATGATGAGTAAAGAGTTTTTCTGTGTAGGATAAAAACAGATTTAAAATGAAATGATACCTTAGATATGTGAATTGATACCATATCAAGATAGAAGATTGAAAGTAATTTTCTGGTGTATCTTTTATATAAAATAACATTGCGCAACATTTGGACTTTTTTTACTAATGGACAGGTGTGCAGTGGTAAGGGTGCAAGATTAGAATTTGAGAAGTACTGGGACATTGCCATGTTTTAGTCATATGACACCAATACTGGTTAGTTCCAGGAAGCCAACTCAATGTGGTTCAAATAAGTTTCAACTTTGAACAATCAGGCTTAAGGAAAATATAGTTTATGAACTCCAGAAAGGTTTCCCTTAAGGTATATTTACTAAAGAAGTATTGTAATTTTTTTTGCAATTTCAGGAAATCACGTTCCAGGAGCTATGAGAAGAAGTAAGTGCTTCTATATTATTTCATCTGTTAATATATTAAATAGTGCAAGTATTGGGTCTGATGTTAAATCATTGCCCATTGGTTTTAAATATATACATGCAGTTTTCTTTTAACTTAAATGTTTTAGGAAATAGTATATAATAAGATTTTAGATTGCACAATACATGGGATAAAAGTTTTCAAGGATTATTCCTTAATTTAGGATTTTCAAACATTCAAGTAAAATACCTGGTTACTGAAGAATATGACATGGATATTCTTGAACTTTATTTATAGACGATCAAGGAGCCGAGGTCGCCGTTCATACACACGTTCTAGAAGCAGGTCACGATCTAACAGGTACAACGACTAACTGACGTCTTACTTAACCTCTTTCCCATTTACAACTACCATCTTACATCCACACACTTTTTGTTTTGCCTTCCATGAAGCTGTTCCAGCGACCATTTGAAATTTCATGAATCTTGACGTTTTCTTGTATATTGTTAAATAAAACTTTAAAAAAACTGCTAGGAGGGTCATTTGCTTGTAAAATGAATAAATGAATTTTACCATTTAATAATAAGGTCCTAGAACTTGAGAATAGAATAAATTTTTCAAGTGACTAGTGTATATTTTCTAGCTATCTACTAGTAGTTTAGTTTATACTATTATAAATTAGTCTAATTTATTATACTTTAATTTTGTTGGAAGCTTATTAAAACACTCAAATACTTTTTCTGGAATCAACAAGTACTAAGTAATGAGTGTAAAGTGTCTTGCTCATGGAAACAACAGCTTGCCCTGGACTGGGTTTGAACCAAAATGGCCAACAATCCTTAAATTTTAAGTTTAGACATGTTAACCATTTGAGGATACCACCACTGATAAGTAGTTGATAGGTTATACAGGTACTTTCAGGATAGTATTGGTGTTGGAATGATTTACTGGAACAAATACATATTCTTATATAAATTCGTTGGTTAAATGGGGAAAAAATCTCAATCAAATATGAGCTGATTTGTGTAGTTATGATTTTTCAACTGTTTAAGTAATTTATAAAAACCAAACAGTTTATTAATTAAATATCTTCTTGTTCTTAAATTATTGATAAGTTGTTTGAAATGTTAATTTCAAAAGATTTACAATGCATGACACAGAAAAAATGATGTGCTTGTAATGCAAGTTTATCAAAGTTTCATTTTGACATGAATGATTCCCAAGTACTTGCTACTTCTTGATCACCATACAAAGTGGCACTAGATAAGACTTGTTGTGAACTTGTAACCGCAGTTAGTTCAATGTTGAGTGAAATGGTACATCCCTTGTTTAATTTTACTTGAAAGTGGGTACATCTTAGTTCAGCATTATATATAAAAAGTTAATTAATTATATAAAAAGTTATATCAATAGTTCAACATAATGTGAGAGGTTACTTTAATAGTCAGTGTAATGTAGAATGTATCATTTCAGTTAACTTAAACATATTACATCCTTGTCAGAGGTTATCTTAAAGTTAGTGTAATGTTTCAGTTCAGTAAAAAATTTAATGTTACCATTTCAATTCAACGTAAACATACTGCTTTCCTAGTCCAAACTGTTTGAGGTTACCTCAGTCGGTGTGGAGTGAAATATTAGCATTTTAATTCAATATATAGAGGATATTTGTTTCGCATGTTGGATCAAAATATTTTGTCACAGATTGAACACCAGCTGTATTATTTTCATAAGTGGCAGAGTAACAAGTGAAAATCAAAGGGCTGGTGCCTGTGAGTAGAAGATTATTTGATCTTTTGTTCAAAAGAAACAAATATCCTCTATACATGTATATTGAACTAAAATTTTCATTGAGTCACAGTCACATTGTTCTTGGTGAAAATAATGCTGTAAAACTTTATGAATTAAATGATACTGTACAGAAGATATTCATGTGCTTCTAATTATCAAGTACTTTTTGCTCATGACATGATATATTTCTGACAATTTTTCCTCCTATTTAAGATATATATTCTTTTCATCCGCATTCTGATATAGTCCAGCAACAGTTGAAATTATATTTTATAATTTTACTGTGAAATTATCAAAATATAATTTAATTTTCCAATGGAAAGCATGACATAAAACAAAGCATGAAACATTGCTAGTTAACTTATTGTTTTGCTCTTAATTATGCTGTTGTAATATTCATAGGTCAAGGTCGTACAGCCGTTCTCGTTCAAGGTCAGGAGGTCATGGCGATGAAAGAGAAGCAAGAAGTCGAAGTAGAACGCCACAAAAAGATTAGAAAGATTGTTATCTGTCGTTTAAAAAGTCTTCTGAACAAAAATAACAATTTCTCTAGTACCTTACATCTGTTCCTTGATATTAATTATGCTGAAAAGACGAAAAAGGAAAGTTTTGTGGTAGTGAATAATATATGACCTGTTTTATAAAGGTTTCCAGACAAATGATCTTTAGTACAAACAGATTAGCAGCAAAATTGACATTTTAAAACTTATTTTATTTTGTTATGTGTTATGTAATATGATTGGCTAGAACAATTATAAATGTTTTATTGTTAACCCTGAACCTTCTGGTCACAACTGGTGGCAAAGGCTAAACACAATGTTTTCAGCAGCGGAAGGGTTAATTGTGCTTATAATTTCTGTACTAAGTATTAAAGAACATCCTGTGTTTTCATGAAGAATGCAATGGTTAAAGTGTCCATATACATAATCATACAAAGACAGTACAATTTATTATGCATCCACATTTTACCAAAGCAATGTGTTTTATTTCCATGCATAAATTTCAGTATTTTGCCAGTTTCTATAGTTTTAAAAATAGTCTTTGTTGCATATATTTTGTAACGGAAGTTACATACTACACAAATAAATGCAGAAATCTATAAATATATTTCCATGAACATTAACATTGTGATCTTTAATTATGGTGAAACCTTATACATGTACTTTTATGAGTTCAATGTTCAATTTTGAGGGAAAACAGTTATGTGCTAAGTTAGGTGAAAATCCTTTAACATTTTAGTTGTGCTAAGATGTAAAATGCAAATTAATTAGTTCTCAATTTGTCACATTGTTGAGTTGAGTCATATCCAAATTTTTCATTTATGTATGATGAACAGTAAGGTCCTTGATCAAATATTGTGTGTTTTTTTTTTTTACATGTTGATAAAAATCAGTGACATAGCCACATTTATCATTTCCATCCAAGTATAATGTACAAAAAGTTCCATAATCACATTTTAATGTACATAGTTAATCTGCCATCATAACATGCTATAATTAGAAGTGAGAATTGGTATAAGAAAGTTATGGAAGTAAATACATGTATGTGATAGTAGTATACTTGTTGGTATAGTGTAGATGTGACCGTGTACAAGTAATGTTGTAGTTTGTTGTTCATCAATGATTTTATTGTAGCTGTGAGCATTCATTATCATCTTTTAAAACAATAAAACATTTTCATCAGTTTCCATAGTGATTGTTTTTCATTTTATCCACTAATTTAGTGTAACATTCTTTGAAGCTGTTAAGTGCTGACCAATTCAGTTGCCAGTCACTTTTGTCAATTTCATCATTGCCTGCGACTTTGTATTCCTTTATATTTTCATGAATGGAATGGAAAGTGGTTCTTAACAATTGGCCAATCAGTGTCTTGAAATATTAGAGGAGAATCTGCTGTATCTTTGTATGGCAACTGTATTAAGATGTGTCACAAGAGTATGCCCCTGAATATTGTGTATGAAACATTGAGTGGTGAAAACACAAGCCGAATATTTTACCAATCATCGTGCCAAATGTTATAAGCTGGGCCAGATTTAACATATAACCTACAAATAAAACTTTTGACTATAGAAGATGCAGATGTGGGTCTTGCATGCAACACATAGCCATACTGGTGAAGACCTGTCCCAAATATTTTGACAACAAATCTAGTAATAAATTTTAAAGACTGATCTTAACCTTAAAGGTGCATACCTTGGTCTTGGAGAAACGAATGAGCTATTTGTAATAGGTTTGATTTTTTTTAAGCTGAATTCTTAATAAATAGCATCTACACCTAAACCACTAGGAGGATTTGCATCAACAGGGATGATATTTGGTTGACCTAAATGGTTCAAGTCTGATCCAAAGAACTATAATTTGTCTTTCCTCAGAAACTACAATACCAATAGTTTAGATTATTGGCATGTAGCATCATCTTGTGGTCCTTTTCAAAAGCTATATTATGTCCCTGGGAATTGAAATTTACGGGGTCATTTATATAGACTGACAGTAAACTGTGTGAGTGCAGAACTGAAGGATCCTGTATAGTGTAATTAAGGATGTAACAAAGTAAACATACTGTAAAACCAAAATTGTATTCAGTCACATGTCCGTTTCCTCTAACACAATTTTTTAAGAATTTGCTATATTTGTACAAAAATTTTTTATATGGGTATTACGTATTAAGTTTTAAAGTAATACACTTCATTTTCTATTGAAAATATGAGCACATCAGAAATATAGTTCTAAATAATTATGCCCCTTTATTTACATGAATTGTTAAATTTGGTCATATCTTTATAAGTACGCTTTTTGTAACTTCTGATACTGATAATTCTTCATTTTAAAAATCCAGTTTATCATTTAAGACAAATATTTTTAAGGTACAGGGACTTTTAATATTTTGCTACAAGACATCTACAAACAAACTGCAGCTTTTAACACACCAAATGTAATGTAATTTATTCTGCATTGAAGAATTATGATCTTTCCCAGAACTGCATCTCAAATCAATGGTCTTTAAGAGTGATCATGGCTGACCTGTTTTAAGTCCAAACATGCTTGCAGAAGTTCAGGACCAGACATACACTTTTCTGCACTTATGTGACAAAAATGCCAAGTTTATTTCATTGTTGTGACCTTGACAAGACGCATCTTTTACCTTGGTGACCTTGGCTACCAAATTTTGAATGTAATGGATAAAGTTGGGATACAAACTATACATAAATTCTAACACACATACAACATGTATGGCCAGTATAAGCACTATATCCCCCATAGGAGAATAAAAAGTATTGACATACAAATTTGCTTATCATCAATCCACAATGTAAATATAACAAAATTGAAGGTTTTAATTCTCTTTTATTTTCTTAATATCTCAAAAATAATAAACATACCAAACATATAATCTAAATATTTCTGAAATTAGGCCTTAACACAGTTAGTATAATATAAAGGATTTCAAATGTATGAAGAAGTATGACTAGACATTATAATTTGGAAACACATATAGATAAATCCAGTTCACATTATTTGTTGACAAATTACACTTAACCTGCAGGAATTGACTGTTAACTTTTGCCTCTACTTTAGAGCCAGGCCAGCCTGCACAAACTGTATGTACATGTATATTATTTATGCATGGCACTAATAATTTGTGAAAACTTTGTGTGAACATTAAGTTCATCTGAACATTAAGTTCATCTGCAAACACACCAAAATTCGTCTTTGGGAAAAGCAGGAATTGTACAATGCATTAAAAAAAAAAACATCATATATAAAGAAATTGACCATGGTCAACAGAAAGACAACATCATACAAGTCATAGTGTAAAAAGATTTTAAATCGTCAAATAAAATAAAAATTAAAAAAAAACTTATGATAAGAGTCTACTATATAAAACTTAAGGCATGAAAAACAAGAGCTGTCGGTAGGACAGCACGCTCGACTATTCTTAGTGTTTGATAGTAAAAGAGCCTTGATAATGTTAAATTTTCTAAGTTCACAAAAGGGCTATTTTTTTTTTATAAATTCATGTTATAGGCCTTAGAGAGAGTCTAATTATACAGTATTGGCTTGACTATTCGGAAGGTTGTCACAAGGGTGTTTTATTGAGTATAATAATACAAATTACCTATGAATACATAAAATTGACAGAATAGGTACAAAGGCTTATTATTTAGATGTTTTATCGAGTAAATCACTGCTTTATTATTATGAATGCATACTAGACCTATCACTGAAGGTGATTAATACCCCCACCAGCAACTTTGACTTTTTGAAAAATAAGTAGTCTGAAGAAAAATTTGAACACAAACTATCAACTGTGTACAAAGAAATATTTCAATTAATTGTAATCCCTACTGGGGTCTCTAAATAAGCTTGCTTTTCACAAAGTTTGAATACAATATCTCATTTCTAACTCTAGTTATTATCCGGAAACCATTTTTCTATTTTTAGTAACACTGTAACAGTGACCTTGACCCTAGGGGATCCAAATGCAATACCAACCAAGGTCTTCATATAAGCTTGCTATACACCAAATTTGATTACAATATCTCATTCCTAACTCAAGTTATTGTCAGAAAACCATTTTTCTATTTTTAGTAACAGTGACCTTGACCCCAGTGGGCCAAAATGCAATACCAACCCAGGTCTTCATATCAGCTTGCTATACCCCAAGTTTGATAACAATATCTCATTCCTAACTCTAGTTATTGTCTGGAGATTTTTCTATTTTTAGTAACAGTGACCTTGACCTTGACCCCAGGGGGTCCAAATGCAATACCAACCCAGGTCATTATATAAGCTTGCTATACACCAAGTTTGATAACAATATCTCATTCCTAACTTTAGTTATTGTCCGGAAACCATTAAATAACGGTGACCTTGACCTTGACCCTAGGGGGTCCAAATGCAATACCAAGCCAGGTCTTCATATAAGCTTGCTATACACCAAGTTTGATAACAATATCTCATTCCTAACTCTAGTTATTGTCCGGAAACCATTTTTCTATTTTTAGTAACGGTGACCTTGACCTTGACCCTAGGGGGTCCAAATGCAATACCAAGCCAGGTCTTCATATAAGCTTGCTATACACCAAGTTTGATAACAATATCTCATTCCTAACTCTAGTTATCGTCCGGAAACCATTTTTCTATTTTTAGTAACGGTGACTTTGACCTTGACCCCAGGGGGTCCAAATGCAATACCAACCCAGGCCTTCATATAAGCTTTCTATAGGCCAAGTTTGATAACAATATCTCATTCCTAACTCTAGTTATTGTCCGGAAACCATTTTTCTATTTTTAGTAACGGTGACCTTGACCTTGACCCCAGGGGGTCCAAATGCAATACCAGCCGGAGTTTTCACATAAGGTTGCTATATACCAAGTTTGATTACAATACCTCATTCCAAACTCTAGTTATCGTCCGGAAACCATGATGTGGACCGACCGACGGACCGACCGACCGACCGACCGACCGACCGACAAGCTGACTCCTATATACCCCCCCTAAACTTCGTTTGTGGGGGTATAAAAATTGTCCCAAAAAAGGCACAAACCCTTCAGTAGTTAATGAGATAACAGCTTACAAGCAAAACTTTACCATGAATTTCTAAGTTGAAAAAGGGGAGAAAAATCACC